CCCTCGCTGCTCCGACCGACCCGTACCCCTTGCGGCTGCTTCCGGACAGTGGGCTTCACCCTGGCGAAAATCTGGATCGTCTGCTTCACCATCTCCTCCTCTGGCACTGTACTGACCCTTGACCTCTCAGGCCCAGGCTCCCCAAACTTCGGATTCCCACCACCTCCAGCGAGCGGCAGCCTTAGCAACAGTAACTAGGGACACTACCCAAGGAGCAATGCGCCAACCAGGACCGCCTCCCCTCGCTAATTGGTTGCTAATGGAGTGCTCCGCCCCCCACCCCCCAGGGAAGCACTGAGGGGCGGGGTTGAGGGGGGCTGAGCTGAGAGTACTCCGCACCTTCTAGGCGGAGGCCTGGGCTGCAGGCTTAGCTCCAGAGCTGATCTGGAGAGAGGCTAATGAGTGACAACCACCATGCCTTTCCCGGTTCCTTAATCCATTCTTCCCCTTTTTAGCACTGAAGTCATTCTGTTTTTTATTATTCATTCATGGAATAAATGACACTTGATCTGTGGCAGCAAGGCGCTGGCTGGGTGGGGATCCTGGGCTGCGCAGCACTGCCTCTGCCCTCCTGGAGATTGGGTCTGATGCGGGAGACAGGTTTTCATTAGGGAATTAGGAGTTAGGTCGGGGTAAGCAAGGGGTTCTGAGAAGATACCTCACCTAGCTCTGCTGCGGAAGAGGCCAAGACTGGAGAGAGGGGGACTGTGTCCATGCAATGGTCAGGTCAAGAAAGAATGGGCGCCTTGGCGCAGTGTTGGAGGGAATGTAAGTTGATGCAGCCACTGTGGGAAAGAGCAGGGAAGTTCCTAAAAAGAATTAAAAGTAGCATTGCAATCCCACTCACTCTTGGGTATATGTCCAAAGATGAAATCAGACGCCTAAGAGACATCTGCACTCCCATATTTATTGCAGCATTCGCCAAGATGTAGACCAACGTAGCGTCCACTGATGGATGAGTGGATAAAGAAAATGTGATATACATAATGAAATATTTTATATTATGCCTTATAGCTACAATAGAGTGATGTGTGTGTGTGTGTGTGTGTGTGTGTGTATTAGAGTTAATCATGTAGAGCTAGAACAGATGGCATTGAGTGTATCTACTGATAACATGGCCCCAGTACTGCCTGTGAAATATAAGTGGAACTGATTTTCATATCCTTGGCAAGACAGAAATCGCCTTTTCTATTTGTATAACTACCATCATGCTCACACTAAAATGACACCCAATGGGCATTAGAAAACGTTCAATGTACTTAAATGTGAGATGGAATATTATTCTGCCACACAAAAGAAGATCCTGCCATTTGGCAATAACATGAATGAAGCTGGGGGCATTATGCTAAGTGAAATAAGGTATCCAAATAAAGACCATGACTGTATGATCGCACTTACATGTGGAATCTGAAAAAGTGGAACTCATAGAAACAGAAAGTAGATTGGTGGTTGTCAGGGAATGAGTGGGGGAAATGGGGAGATATTGCTCAAGTGGTACAAACTTTCAGTTATAAGAGGAATAGGTTCTGGGGATCTAATTTACAGCATGGTGATGATAGTTAACAATATTGTATTACATACTTGAAAGTTGCCAAATGACTGAATCTTAAATGTTCTCATCACACAGAGAAAAAGTTAATTATGTGAGGTGATGGAGGTGTTAACTAAGCTGATTGTGATCATTATTTCACAAGACACACATGTATCAAATTATCACATTGTACATCTTAAACTTAGATGTCAATTATATCTCAATAAAGCTGGGATAAATACATAAAAGGATGAGCACCGCAACAGACACTGCTAACACATGAAAAGATATCTGGCATCATTACTCACCAGGGAAATACACATTAAAACCACACTGAGATAGCACCATACACTATCAGGATTAAAAAAAAATAGCAACAAAACCAGATGCTGACATGGATACAGAGAAACTGAGTCAGTCACACTTTACTGGTGGGAACGTGTAGTGTAAAATGTGTCATGACTGGTACAGACATTCTAAAAAACAGTTTTGCAGTTGTTGTTGTTGTTTTTTTACAAAGCTAAAGATGCAACTACAATAAGATCCAGCAATTATGTTCATGGGTGTTTATATCACAGAAATGAAAACTTTTGTTCACACAAAAACCTATGCATGCATGTTCATAGCAGTTTCATTCATAATAGCTTCAAACTAGACAGAATCCAGATGTCCTTCAACCAAAGAATAGTTAAATAGGTGATGGAATACTATTCAGCAATAAAAATGAAGGGACTACTGATACATATAGCAATATAGGTGAATTTCCAGAGACTTATGCTGAGTGAAAGAAGCCAGACTCAAGTTCAGTGCTGTATGATTCCATTTTTATAACATTCTTGAAACGACAAAATTATAGAGATGGAGAGCACATTAGTGGTTGCCAAGGGTTAGGCAGGCAGGGAGGGGGTGAAGTGGCTATGGCTATAAAAGGATCCTTGTGATGGACTATTGTGTATCTTGACTGTGGTAGTGGTCATAGAAATCTACCCATGTGATAGAATTGCATAGAACAAAGCACACACACACACACACACACACACACACACGTCAGTGCATATAAAACTGGTGAAACGTGAATAAGGTTGAATAAGATGGATGAATGGTATCCATATCCACTCCCTGGTTGTGACCTTGTACTGAAGTTATGCAAGATGTTGCCATTCGGGGACCTGGGGAAAGTGGATGTAAGATCTCTCTGTATTATTTCTTAACACTGCATGTGAATCTATAATTATCTCAAAAGAAAATGTTTTCAAAAAGAAACCTCAGAGGATTGAAAAGACCAGCCACAAACTGGGAGAACACTTTGGCAAAACACCTATCTGAGAAAGAGCGCGCATCCAGAATACCTAAAAACTCTTAAAACTCAATAATAAGTAGGGGAGCAAACTACCCAAGTAATTAAAAAAAAACAAACAAAAGGTTGGCAAGGATTTGAACAATTACCATAATATGGATGGCAAATAAGCACATGAAAAGATATTTTAACGTAATGAACCCTTAATGAAATGCAAATTAAAACCACAGTAAGACACTGCAGCACCCCTCTTAGAATAGCTACAAATAAGGAAAGAAAACTGGTAATACCAACAGCGAGTATGTATGCAAGCATCTAGAACCCTCAGACAAGGCTGGAGAGACGGCAAGATGGACCAGTCACTTTGAAAAGGTTTCATAGTTTCTTACATGGAGAATTACACATATACTTACTATTAGACCCAGCATCCCCACTCTTAAGTATTTACCCAAGTTAAAAGAAATGTAAACAATGACTATTGTGGTTTTATTCACAACTAGGAGCCCAGCGTGCGAAATCGCTCGGCCC